TAGCCCAGGCTGGCCTCGAACTCACAGAGATCCGCCTGGCTCTGCCTCCCGAGTGCTGGGATTAAAGGCGTGCGCCACCACCGCCCGGCAACAATCACATTTTAAATATTAATTTCTGCATATGAAAGAAAACATATAGCATTTGTCTTTTTTTTTTAAGACTTAATTATTATGTATACAGTGTTCTGCCTGCATGTATGCCTGCAGGCCAGAAGAGGGCACCAGATCTCATTACAGATGGTTGTGAGCCACCTGTGGTTGCTGGGAATTGACTCAGGTCCTCTGGAAGAGCAGCCAGTGCTCCTAACTGCTGAGCCATCTCTCCAGCCCCAACATTTGTCTTTTTAATCTCATTTAGTTTATGTAACGTAACGACTTCCTATTTAGGGCTGAATACTCAGTCTCTTCTTTTGCTTTTTTCTTTTTCTTTGTTTTGTTTTGTTTTTTGAGACAGAATCTTATTTTGTATTTCAGGTTTCCTGATAGCACAGGCTGGTCTCAAATCCTGCTTTTGTCTCTGGGAAGAGTTACAGGCATGAGGCACCTGAAGGATTTATATTTTATGGGAGCACATCTAGTAATAATGACCTTTCTTGGCTTTTGTTTATCCGGGGACCCCCTTCCTCCGCTTCCCCCCCACCCCACCCCACCCCACCCCCGCCCTGTTTAGTGTGTGTGTGTGTGTGTGTGTGTGTGTGTGTGTGTGTGTGTGTGTGTAGTACAAGGTGGATTCAAACTTGCTGTGTAGCTCGGTGCTCAGTGGACCTCTCACCTCAGCATCCTAAGAGCTGCAATTCATCTTCTTAAGGGAGAGGGTTGGTTTTCACCTTTTTATTGGGGAGCACAGGGAAGGAGACCTCTTCCATCAGTGGGAGTGTTTACAGGTTCTCTAGATACTCCAGGTTTGGGCCCCGAAGGTTCTGGGTGTGGCTGAAGGCCCTGGGTGTGGCTGGGTACCTCAGGCCCAAACCCATTATCTCCCGTGGGCACTTTGTAGCTATAGGGTATGGTCTGGTTGATCTTGGTGGCTCTTGGTTTGGGGCTGAGTGAATTACACTGAATTACAGCAGTGGAAATGACCAGCAGCCATGTCCTTTGCCAGGGCATACGGGTGGGAGGCATTCTTCGTCTCAGTGGAGTCTCCCTCTTTTCTGATTTCTTTTTTTCCTTTCCCTTTCCTTTTTTTATTTCATCAGATTTAAAGTTCTCGGCCATTGTTTTTCATATGATCTCTCTTCTCAATTAGTTTAAAAACAAAACAGCAATAACCTCTTGTTCTCTCCTTTTCCCTCCTTCCCCAGGCAAGAAGTCCCTTACCACATGCTGACCCTAAATGCTGGGCTGGCTCTGACCCGAGAGACCATACATTTCTGCTCACTATGGGGCTGCTATATGGCTCAGTGGGTAACATGCTTGTTGTGCAGTCATGAGGACCTGAGTTTGAATCCCCAGAATCCACATAGAGCCAGGCTCGGTGGCACAAGTGTGTAACTCCAGCCCTGGGGAGTGGAGACAGGCAGACCATGGGAGCTCACAGGCCAGACAATCGAGCCAAAATGGTGGAGTCCTGGTTCAGTGAGGGACCCTGCCTCAAAAACATAAGGTGGAGAGCAATACAGGAAGGCATTGGACATGAATTTCTGCCTCCACATGTGACACACAGGGGAGTCCACCCACACCCACACAATCACCAGGTCCCTGGTGTCCTATCACAGTTCACAAGAGGAACTGAGCCGTGGTCTGGAAACTGCACATTTTCCAACAGACTCCAGAGAGTCAAAATCATTTGAGACGGATTCTGCTGGATTGTCAAATAAATGAGGAGTCAGTTCCTGGCCCTTCCTATTCATCATCTTCCCTGAATCACTGCTACATAAGGAGCAGACAAGTCAATAACAAAGAAACAAGTGACTGGAAAACTGGACAACCGGACAAAGGATCTGCGTACACACATTTCTCCAAGAATACGAACTGCTGGGGCTGGAGAGGTCCTGAGTTCAATTCCCAGCAACCACATGGTGGCTCACAACCACTTGTAATGAGACCTGGTGCCCTCTTCTGGCCTGCAAGCATGAATGTAGGCAGAACACTGTATACATAATAAATAAAGAAATCTTTTAAAAAAAAAGAATACGAGCTGCTAATAAGTACATGAGAAGGTGTCAGCACTGTTAGCCCACAGGAAAGCTCCGATCAAAACCACCGTGTGATACCACTTCACACCACTAGTGTGGTACTAAAAGAAAGCCACATCAAATCTCACAACCTGTGTGTTGCCTTATATGGCAAAAGGTGTCAGGAGCTTGAGGCTAGAAGCTTATCCTGACTCATTTGGCTGCTTTTCAGATGTGATTGCCTGTGTCCTCATGAGAAAGCAGCACATGCATGTGGTTTGTTTGTTTCAACTTTGACAGGTTCTCGCTCTGTAGCCCAGGCTGACCTGCAACCCTCTTGCCTCTCTACCTTCCAAGTAATAGGATTACAAATGTGCACCACTGTGCCAGGCAGCATACTGAGTGTACGCACGCACGCACGCACGCACGCACGCACGCACGCACGCACGCACGCACGCACGCACGCACGCACTTGGGGGACGAGTAAAACAAAGGCAGAAGTCAGAGTGATGCAGTCCCAAGCCAAGGAATGCCACTTGTAAGAGTCATGAAACAACGTGCAGTAGAGCGCGCTGGTGCCACGGGAGAGGGAGTGTTGAATTGCACGACTCAGCATGTGGTGCTTTGTCCCTGCAGATGACAGTGATGAGGCAGACCAGGCAATCGGGACCACCTTTCACAAACTCGGATGGTGGGAAAGAAAGAGGGCGCTGCAGCTTTGGAAAACGGGCCTGACTGCAGAGATACCAAGGGGGTGAGCAATTCCCCTCCTCAGGAATACACCCAGGAAAGAAGAAAGTCTGCTTCCAAGTAGCAACTTGTCCGTTAATATTACAGCAGCATTAGTCACCTGCACCCCAAATGTCCAGCTGCCGAGTGGATAAATAAAACCTGTTGCACACACACAATGAAATACTGTGCTTTATTTGTGGTTACTGTTTCTTGGTGTCCTACAAGAATTTTTATTTGAGATAGGGTCTCTCTATGTACCTCTGGCTGTTCTAGAACTCACTCTGTAGACCAGGCTGGCCTCAAACTCATAGAGATCTGCCTGCCTCTTCAAAGCATGGGATTAAAGGTGTGTGTGACCCAGCATTCTTGGTTTAGAAATTTCTTACTCGAGATACAGCACTGTCTGTGATTGGACCTCTTTATACCTGGAAGATGCTGCTCACGCGGGGATGGTGGGGGGGGCACGTTCCTCCTTCAGTATCATCCAGAAGATACGCTCACAGACCTCCCTGAGGCTGATCTCTTAGGTGGTAAGATGCAATCAAGTTGACAATTAATGATTTAACATCACAGCTATCTTATTGTTCCTGAATTTCTGTTCCCCATCTCTCCAACGCACATGGACAAACCATGCACACACATGTACACACACACAGATACACACATGCACACCAGCATGCATACACACAGGATCACATGCAATACATGCTTGCACACTCTTTTTTTTGAGACAGGTCTCATGCAGGGCCAGCCCACTGGCCTGGAACTCACCTTGTAGATTAGGCTGGCCTTGGATCTGCAGGGATCCACTTGCCCCTGCCTCAGGAGTGCTCTTCAAGGCTGCACCATCATGCCTGGCATACTTCTTCACAAATTTCTTTTAGATTTATTGTATATGTGAGTGTTTTACCTGCGTATAGATGGATGTGCACCATGTGACTATTTGGTGCCTACCTGTGGGTGCTGGAAACTGAACTCTAGTCCTCTGCAATAGCAGCAAGTACTCTTGACCACTCAGCCAGCGCTCCAGCCCCTCACACACTCCTTGCCTTTGTGTGGAGGTTAAGAGGGTGTTGTTTGATGGTGTGCCGAGTTTTCATTCTAGTTTGTTCTTCTGTGGTGGACGGTATGCACTGGATGGTAAACATCTTCCCTCACACTGTCACTGGTCTACACTGTCTTCTTTTTCACTGTCTCTGGTCTACACTGTCTTCACTGTCACTGTCACTGGTCTACACTGTCTCTTCTCTCTCACTGTCACTGGTCTACACTGTCTTCTCTCACTGTCACTGGTCTACACTGTCTTCTCTCTCACTGTCACTGGTCTACACTGTCTT